AACAATTGTGCTTCTTTTTGTTCAGTTAATATCACATTAGCTTTTAAAAGGCAACAACAAGTTAATTGTGGTAAATCTGTGTTCGCAGTAATTGTTTTCTAGAGAACTCAAACCATTTTAGTGTGGTTGACGTTGATATTTTACTCCAAAGAGCTGCATTTACTCCTGCTGAGGACCTAAATGCCCTAAAATTTAACTGCAGTTGTCCGTGATTTAATAGTTTGACGGTGGGCTGATGGTGAGTGCGAGAAATGGAAATGAAGAAAAAGACAGACATAGAGAGGTTGTGGTATTTGTTCTTTTGTGTGATAAATATAGCAGGTGAGTGGGTGGAATAAAAACAACCCAACACTCTAGCAGGATAAGAGAGGAAACACAGGAGATAGATATAATGACACCAGGAGAGAGGCAATATGACATAGAGATAATAATRGTGAGGCAGTGAGGAAGAAACATAATGACACTTAGGGAGAGATGCAATAAAACTAATACAGAGATAATTGTGGTGAAAGCAGGGATGCAGGGAGAGCAGGGGGAATGAGGGAAGGATGAGGAGGATAAAGGTAAGGAAAGGAAGGGGTGACGGCAGAGCAGAGGAGGAACAAAACGGCAAAAAAGAGATGAACAGGTACAGAGATTCCAATGTACAAAAGAGAATAAGGATTGTCAAAAGGCTGTATTAAAAAAAACAATGAAGATGCAAGGAGATGGAGAGCTGCATTGAGACAAACAATGTGTGGGGAGATACAACGATTTTGACTCAGAGATAATGAAAATGAGGGTGGGGCTGTAGGAGGGAGGAAGGCACAAGAGGTTGGTGGGGAGGAAGATAAAACAATGACACCAGAAAAACAGACAGCAGATTCCTTTCCTCTCTTGTCCTGTCCTCTCTTCTACTTTTTCATTGCCAGTATTGAATCACTGCAGTCAATAGTTCTCCACAGCGTAACTTGGAAAGATGCATTTGATTTGTGGCCCAGGAAACTGTGGAAAGAAGAGGAAAGCATTTGATTTATGAGCCAGGGACCTTGTGGTCAGGTTCTACCAGAGAGCTTCACCTCTTTGCTGCATCTCGGCAGCTAAAATGTAACAGCTGTCTGATTGTTATGTAGATTCATGCCTTAACCCATTTCATCACCAAAATTTACTGCTCTGAGGTTCGTGTGCAAAAACTGGTCATTTCAGTGAAGATTTCTTAAATTTATTTCACTTTGGTTTGAAAGCTGACAAGTGGAAAAAAAAGTGTAAATTTCTAAGAAATAAAAATCCAACGTCAGACTTTTCGCATTACAGGATCTTTGTGTGTACTAAAGCAGTACAAATAGAGCAGAGAGGGTTTTTATATTTGGAGAACCAAAGTACTCAGTTCTTTGTTTTAAGAAATGCACACACCAAATGTGTGTTAGATTTGTTTTCATGCCTGCATTTGAGTGAACAGTGCATGTGCTATTGACAGGATGMTTTTATTTGCATATATCTGAAGTGGCTACTTCAGAGCCCCCTCTATGGCAGACAAAGATTCATTGATGTCACTTACACATTCATATTAAGTTGTTCTATTTATCTTTTATTTCWTTCTCACCTGTTGATGGGTCAGATGGAACATTTCATCCTTGCAAAGACACGGAACAGAAAACCAATGTCTCAATAATGGAATTGTATTTCAAATAATAAATATTATAACAAAAAGAAATGTACTGAATTGAATAAAGAGAAGACTGAAAACCAAAGAAAGAAAAAGAAATCACATGGTATCTACTGGTTTATTTGAATATTTACAACGCTTTTTAATTTGTCATCGAGGCATATCGTCTGACAGACTGTCAGATGATAATTGCACAAATTTAAATGTGCTTGCTTAACCTTTTCCCAACAAATTAGTTAGAAAAAAATTCTGTCAATCACAACAGCAGACCATGTTTGTTTTTTCACATGCAGGGGAAAATAGTATTTGTCATGGCCTGGTACTTGTTAGGAGGAAGGTCAGCACTCATCAGCTAATAATGTCCTCTGTCAACAGATGCTCCCGCAGACCGACCCATCCATCCATCCATCCATCCATCCATCCATCCATCCATCCATCCATCCATCCATCCATCCATCCATCCATCCATCCATCCATCCATCCATNCATCCATCCATCCATCCATCCATCCATCCATCCATCCATCCATCCATCCATCCATCCATCCATCCATCCATCCATCCATCCATCCATCCATCCATCCAAGCAGCAGCGCTTAGCTCCAGTCATGGGGTGAGCTGCAACATAGTTAAACCGGTCATCAGTCTACCACTCTAGTTTCAGCTATAGACGTTCATCCTAAATCAAAAAGTTAAATATGTTTAGCCTTAAGAAACTAGAACTGATTGTTATGTGCAACTTTTTTTCTTCTCTTCTTTTTAATTTGATATATATAGATGTTATATTGAGAGAAATAAACAAAACAAAGCCACATCTTCAATCAATCATTTAATCTCATGTCATATAAAGTATCAACAAAACTGAAACAATTGTATTTGGAAATCACACACCTCTCAAATAGTTACCTGGTGTCCTTGGTTCCCTTGCTCCCTGTCTCTCCTCTGTAAAGAATCTTTGAGCATTTTAAAGATTTCTTTTAAATTTCAGAAGCAAGTATCCGCATATTATCAAAACTAGTTTTTATCAACTTTGTCAAATTGCCAAAGCAAAATCTTACATTTCTGCAAAAGACTATCACCTTTTATAGTTAGGACCACTACAAAGCTATATACAGTATTGGCCTTGCAAACAATTGTTTCTCCATTGTCRAATACAGGATGCAGCTTCAAGATAAATGTTATGAGGAAATCAAAAGCAAAACATTGAACAGGGTAACAGCAGGAAGATATGTCAATTACTGAGCAAACCCAAGGTGCACGTATACATGAGACTGGTGATTAGTGAGTGGAAATGTGTGCCTATTATAGATGAAACATGTGTGAAGTGCTGGAATCAGAAAATCTTCTGGGTAAAATCCTACAAAAACAGCGTAATCAAAACTACTCTATAACATAATGAAACAAAATAACTCAAGCTACCAAAAAAAAAAAGGAAAGAAAAAAACCTGAAATGTGACAATTATCAAGTGTTAGCAAACAGTTTGCTTAATTGCTCACTTCTGTCAGTGAGGAAGAGTTTGCTTAATTGCTCACTTCTGTCAGTGAGGAAGTCTTGATGCTTTGTCATCTGACTTGAAAAATAAGTTCTGGAAAAAACACTTTACCAAACAAACATCTGAACATAAAAAAAAATTGAAGAACTTGATGCTATGTCAACAAAAAGAGGCTAAGCTGCGGACTACTTGAAATCCCTCATGTGTGGTACAACAATACGGCTAGATGCAAGTGTTTGCTGAATTCTGCTTATTCCATCTGCTCAAACGAAGGCATAGGGGGATCAAGCAGCTGAGGAGATGGCAGACGAAAGGAGAGACGACTGAAGACAAAAATGAGAGACAGACACAAATATGGCTGGGGAAGGGAGAGGTGAATTGGGTTGGAAAGACAGCACAGAACAATCTGAAATTAATCTGGACACTCCAGATGGTTTGAAATTTATGTGTGTGAGCGCACCGGTATGTGTGTCTTTCAGTTATAGCCAGCTTGTATGTGAGCTTGTGTATAGCTAATTTACATGTTGTTGTTTTTTTTGTGGATTCTGTGGTAGTTCAGACAAGTAAGAACAGAAAAACATAGAAAAACAGAGTGTCTTCATTCGGAGGCTTCTTCAATTTCGCTGTAATACAGACCGCTACAGAAGAWCTTTCCTGCCCACAGCCATAAGCATCTACAATAACTCTTTAGTTAAATGAGTTACAACAACACCTAATTTCCCTCTGGGATCAATAAAGTATTTTTGAATTCAATTGAATTGAAATGTAATAACAGTTGTTTATATTTATTGGGTTGTTTTTTTTGCACAATGAACAAATTTGCAATTAATTTCAAWATAAAAAGTCTAAAACGTACCAAGTATTACAACATGCCAATTAATTTATGACCCATAAAAACAAGTACATGTGGGTGGGAAAATAGGAGAATGTATTGCTGTTTAGTACAACTTACACTAGCATTACGAAAATGTAAATAAAAACCTCTACAGATAGTTTTACTATAAAAAATTTTGGATGGTTGAAATTATTATTATTATTATTGATTTTAGGAAGAATATTAATTTAGACATCTTTTTAGTTTGCTAACAATATATACGCAACAATATAATAACATTTGCTGCTTGGTGGGGGGGCAGCTTGAGTAGGAAGGCCCAGACATCTTCTTCCACAGCCATAGTGGGCAAGTAACATATTCTAGTTTTAACATGAAGAAATGAATTTCAAAATTTTGTATAATGAAATGATTGTATTTTACATACATCTTTTAGTTCTCACTTCCATTAAGATGATACAGCAATCACACAATTTATATTGTAAAACCACAACACCGTGCTGGACCATGTGCAGATTTGAGTGCATTTGAGTGTCACGTGTAAAGATGGCTCCCTGTCAAAGACTTGTATATCAGACTGCACTAATAACATTGTCAAAAATGACTAGATAAACATATGTTCATATTCAAGCCCTTTGCATGTAAGCATGGAACATATGCTGTAGTGTTAAGGCTGTGAGGCATGGCTCGGAGATGAATCTGAGGACACGAGATTGTTACTCTAACACTCAGCCTAACATATGGCACATATTTAAGCACCACTCAGTTGATTTCTTCAAACACACAATGTGATGAATTGTTTTGAGCGTACTTTCAAAAGTATGAAAAAATATGTGATTAACCTTTATGACTTTATGTTCATGATTTAGCTTTGTTTTGTGATCCTTATATAAAACATGGCAAGATTAGAGTTACAACTTTAATCTGAAGAGTGCAAAGAAGGCATGAAAAGCTCAATCCTATGTCCAAGCAGCATGAAACTGCACTCACAACAATCTAACAAGGTTTATGTTGTTTTATTTTTCTTCCAGCTGAATCATGTGGAGGAGTAGTCCAAGGTCTTAACGGCACCATAGAGTCTCCTGGTTTTCCCCACGGCTATCCCAACTACGCCAACTGCACGTGGCTGATAATAACGGGGGAGAGGAACCGAATCCAGCTAACGTTCGTCACCCTGGCGCTAGAAGAAGATTTTGATATTGTATCAGTTTACGATGGACAGCCGTCACCAGGCAACTTGAAAATGAGGTTTGAAAACATTTGTTTCTTGTTGTTTTGCTGCTGTATTTCTGCTCCATCTCTTTTCCTTCCTGACCTCTTTGACTCACAGCTTGAGTGTAACTGACCATTTTCTCCATCCGTACCTTTCTATTTGCTGCAAAGCAAACAACATTAAGAATTTACTTGCTTTAAAATGTTGCTTTGAATGCCTTCCAAAAGCCTGAGCGCTGATATGCATAAATGTATCTATTTGTTTTCAGCAGTATTTCCAAATCATTTCAATATGTTTTCTTCTCCTGCAGTTCATGGCAGCAGCTGTTTATACTGATTAACTTCTGATATTCAACAGGTTGAATTTCAATAATGCTTTAATAAAATTAACATCATGGATTTATTTGCATGGTTGAACACACTACTGCTGGGAGCACATTTTGCTTTCAAGCCAAATTATTAAAGAGAGCTCAACAACTGGGAGGAAGTGATGGAAGAGATTTCTAAAAAGTGGTGTGCTCAAAATTACTAATACTAAATCTAGACCTGGTTTGAAATTAACAGAAGATTATTAGGCTCATTTAAGAATTTATTTGATAGTTGTTATGGAAAAAGATATACTCATAACCACCATCTGCCAAGTCATAAATTTAGCTATCCTTTTCTGTGATAAAACCCCTCTTTTTTTATTAAACATACTCACTGTAGAGACATTTACTAAACTCTGTGAACCATGTCACACCCTACTGTCAGTTCATTCTAACCATATATCAGTGGTTATCAGTGCCCTCTGTCCATTTACAATTCACACACAGATAGAAAAAGACCATTTCTGTGACACAATGGCAGAGTTATAAAGTAACTACATACAAATATTTTGTTACTGTTCTTAAGTGGAAATTTTGGTTATCTGTATTACTTGAGTAATTACTTTTCAGCCTACTTTTTCCTTCTACTTACATCATCACAGTTATCTCTACTTTCTACTCACTACATTTTTAAAAAAGGTAAGAAGTAGAAAGTCTTTACTCCGATTTTATTCTGAGTTGTTATTACTTAAAAAAATACTAGTCTGATAAATTGTGTCTCCTGGATAG